TTTAGTAGTAGATTTTATTGTATTTTTATTATACTTTAACTTTCTAAATAAATAAGCGATAAGTGTGTATTAGTTTTGTCGTACGTTTTTTTTTAAATTAATTTTAACAGTTTCCCCAAAATGTTCTTCAAGTTTGTTGTTCAACATTAAGTTGTTTTATTTATTTATTACAAACAATGTTAGTACAAGCATTACACAGGTAATTACTTAGCACGGATATATCCTGTATGCACCCCATTGTATTTATAGACAATGATATTGTAACAGACACACACACACACACACATCGGTCTATTTATAAACATTTATCTTCAGCGCTTATTTGAAATTCCTTGTCAATTTAGTAGCAGTAGAACTCCTTGTGAAACAGTTCGTCCAGGGAAGTACTGCCACATTACCTATTTCGGCCGCCAAACAGTAATGTCAGCATTCCGGTTTTGAAGGGTTAAGGGTGCTGGTGAAATTACAGGCACATGGGACTTGTGTCTCAGGGTGTCGGGCGCAGTGGCAGTGCTTCTCAGATCTTTGTGATTTAAAGTTCTGAGTGGCACTGCAATTGACAGGCGTGTCGTTGCCACTAGGCACACGACTTGTTCGTCCCGTCACTTAGTATTATATAAAAAAAGGTTGTAAGCTGTCACGGAGAATGACTGACACCACACACTGACAATATAGACTTTTTCTGGTGTGAGAAGTCAGTGGTCATTTAGTTTATAATTAATCTACAGTCTAAATGTTCCTCCATTTCAGAAATAAAATAATAGGTAACGCCAAATTTTACTCGTATTTAATATTAATATGACAATGACATCAATGCACTTGATAATTATGACAGCAAGATTGCTGTACAAGTAGTACGTACACTTTTACGTTTACGGACAGTGGAAATATTATATATTTCAGCATCTTTACAACAGGAATGTAGACAAAAGGATTCACAAATCGTAATAGTTACACCCATGTTATGTAGGGGGGACATTAGTACTATCAAAATTTTAGTGGAACCAAGTGTGGAACCAACAGTCCGAAAGGAACTTTTTGCACCTTGTTTAATTTTAGTTAGTTATTTTGTAATTAGACTTGCTGAATAAATTATTATTATTATTAACTCAAGTGTTTATGCTGTAGTAATATTTATTAAAAAAAATTATAACCATATGAGGTTCGTGTTAAGTAAGCACTTTTTGAAAGCATGAGTTTGTAGCAACTTGCCCTATACTACTACCAGAATACGTACTTACTCGTACTGATCTTACACCGTATAAAAAATTCAATATCCGAACACAGAATAACAAATCCAATAACTCCGAATATCTCATGGGACTAAGAGATATTTCTATAACTCCTACGACTACGGATTAGAATTTACTATTTCTACCAACATTTAACCTAACATAAATGTTTGACGATTATGGGTCTTATTTCCAAATCAAGTTATAAAACTGAATTTTAATCCAGTCGGCTTTATGAAAAAGTTTCAAAGTGCTAAAGTGCGTCTTTGAAGATTCGTCAAGAAAGCGATCGAGCGGACTAGCCCGCCCACGCATGTACCACTTTCCAAATTCCTCTCGTTGCTCGCAATCGCCTATGTTAAGTCTTGAACACGTTACTTTTTATTTATTTTACAAAGTCACCAAAATTACTTGTAATGAATGCTTTTTAAGGTTGGCGCTAACCAAACATATTTACTTAGGTACAGAGTTTCTAATTGGATGAACTTGCTAAATAACATTTACAAAACACGGGTATTCTATATATTTTATATTTAAACTTCATATACTATGATTTTTTACGACGCTCTGTGAGTGAGATGAAAAAAGAAAATTTCTCGAAGACAACAATATTACAGCTTTCATGAGGTGGTTGAATTCTGGCAGGAGTCTGGTAAACGGCAAAGGGGTGGCTTTCATATTCTTTTTTTGTATTCTTCGTACTGTTTTTGCACTAAGTACTACTTGATAATAAGCAGATATAATACTACTCATAACTATGGGATCACAACTATGAAGATATGCACACAACTATGATAGTCATATAACGAGATTTTGTATATTCGCTCAAAAATACTTACTTAGTAAGTGTGCTCACCCTTCTTCCTGTCACTGCAATCAAGCTACCTCTACATATATGTACTTCCAACTTGTTTTGCAAAAGTAAGAAGTACATATATTTTTTTACGTAGGTAAATATAGAAGTTATTTATTGAAAATATTAATTAGAGTAAAGCATAGGAATGTTACCGTTAATTAATGTAGTAAAAAGAATATTATTTTTAACTTAAACTTGCAAGATAGATAACTGAATTCATTAAGTCAGTGATTGACTTAATCTCAGAATATAGAGCTGTGAAACCACTTAGTAAACGTTCTTGTAGTCGCTGTAGTACACGTACTTTCGCATATCGGTTCTGATCAAAATCTAATCAGAGTATGTGTTGTGTTCCCATTAGCAAATGCAATGCCACCATCATATAATTAAGGCGCAAAGATTTAATAATTTATATTGATAGCTTTTGAAAATTAAGTATAGGTTGGAAAATAATGAGATGAAATTTAAGGTGTAAAAAATAAATGTATATCAATATAAAACTCAGTGTTTTTACTTTATTTCGATTCTCAGAGTTAGATTTGCAATACAGTACATTACAGAAAATTTTCAATAAAATTCGCATATCAGAGCTGGATTAAATGCGGCGAAAATAACGCGAGAGTTCCACTTTCGGCAATCGTGCATGAATATTCAGAGGCGTATTCAAGCGTCGGGCGCATTCGGCAATAACTGTTAACTCGCACCACGCCACCGCCGAAAGCCCTCGCCTGCCATCATTCGCTCTTTATACACTGGTTTTAATACCCCGAAACGTTTCACCAGATGGAAGATCAGTGTTTGATGTCATTGGTGAACCGACGATTACCATACGAGCGAAGGCAATAAAAGCTCACTGCAACGACTGGAATGACGTCAACTACTCCAACTGATTCATCATTCAATCATATAATTAACAAATCCTTTTCTAGTAACGAAAGATTAACTTGAATAATTCTAAATTACGTTTGTTTACGTTGATGAAGGTTGCATCGAATTGCGAGGTCCCCAGTCTACGCGCGAGGCTGCGCTGGCGCAGGCGTCTCGATGGCGCCACGGCCTCTTACGCAACTTTGTGTCCGCCGCGTGTTTACGAGCCTCCTCTATCAAAAGTTACCGTATAAACTTACTGAAATGGCTTTTATTTATATTTGTGTATGACATAAAACAATATATCTCCAGTACCTTCACATATAGATAGTAAAAATGAAGATTCGATTTCTCCTGTTATTACTCTACTACTTGACTATAATTCATGCTCACTTCCGTCTAAGGGGTGCGGTAAGGAAGCGAGACACGATTCACCGCAAGAAAAACATTAATGTCCCCAAATGTGTTCCAAACGAGACGATTACTAATGACTACGAGATTCTGTCGTCAGCTGTGTCTGAATCCAAATACATTTTCACAGCCCGCGTCTTGAGCGTGAGGAAGATAAAGCGTGGTACTAAGCCTAACGTAAAAGTGTTTATGCTGTACAAACTATACTTACGGCTAGTTATGAAAGGAGATGTGGAGGAGTTGAAGACCCACGTGTTTGCTGGCGGCGACGTTCGAACTTTAAATGGGGCGATTGTGTTTGTAGATTGGCTTAGGTCGAACAAATGTGCTTATAAACTGTATAGACATTCATCGGGTATATTTTTGAGTGATGGTTTGCATGAGAAGTTTCCTGGCGACAGCAAGCCGCGACTACGGCTGTTGAACGAGCCTCTACCTCTGTCGCTTTATGATTTGGATAGAGTGAATGCCGCTTTGAAAGGTAAATTTTTGCCGCCACAAGGCGTCGGCGTTTGTGTCCACTAGATAAACAAGTTTTAAAGCTTTTTTACAGTCATTTGAATTATTGCATGTTGTTCTGCAACTTGTAACTTAAGAATGTGCATATCCCACTAGGCTATTACTGGAGCACTCCATTATGTGTTTAATTTATGTCCCATTAGTCCGTCAACTTAATAAAAGGTACATTAATGAATCATGCTAATAAGGCCTTACTGCTTTTACTACTTGTAACTTTAATAGGGCATGTCCGTCCATTAACGCCTTAACGTTTTCGAGGACAACCTTTAATAATTTAGTAAACAATGTATTAAATATGAGTAGTGCAACGGCAAAATAAGGTGTTTTGAGCCATTATGTCTTTTGTAGATAAGAATTTAATTTAAACACGAAAGCGGTAATAGGAATAAAGTGAATTTCCAAATGTCAGTGGACAATACTAAAATTTCTAAATAGGCTATTTGCAGTGTCATTACTGACGCCAAAGGCGGAGTGGTCTGTGAACGCCATCGGCCGTCGCGTGGGCGGAGGTCGGAACGTGGTTATATACGTGGGTATAATTACAACTATGCAATTTACTCGATTGGGCGTTAAAATTCCAAACACTTGTGGTCTATATACATATTAGGTGCATACTTTGAATATTCCTCGATTTTAATGCAAATATAGCTGCCTTATAACCATTTTATGTTAATTCTGATGTCTTTTGTAATTTAATTACAAATTAGAGCAATGGAATTTGAGGAAGGAGTAATAATTAGCTACAACATTTAAGTTTATTTTGTGTTAATCTGATTTGGTTAGTGAAACATTTTTGAAATAATACACATAAGTTATGGCTAAGTAACATTACTGTCCTAAGTATATTAGAATGTCTCTTTAATAATTTACATTTTATAACAAATGATAATAAATAATAATATGGAGTTAGTTACAGAAAGCACAACTCCAATGAATGCATCTATGGAACTATTATAACAGAATCTAGTTATTATATCTGGCTAAGTGCTTCGAATGACATCATTGCAAGTTGTAGAGACAAGCGTACACTTTTGTGTAGTATTTACACTTGCTGTGCTAATTGAATAAATTATCACTTCGGAAAGTTGGTTTTTGCCTTTTCTCTGGTCTTGCTGGCTTTTTATGTAATTGATTTTCGTTGGACACATTAGCGGTCTTCGACTTTTCTATTTTTAATCTTCTCTAAAGCTTGCTATTCGGAGTTTTATCAAACAATTCTCTTAGTTTTCTCCGCATAATTTTACCGCTTGGATTCTTTGGTATTTCTTGAACGAATCTTACTCCCCCTCGTAGTTGTTTCCATGGTGATACCTGAAGATTACAACCTCGCGTTACAGTTTATTTTTATGATATGCTTTCCTTCGTATACTGATTGCCTCCTCACAAGGCACTATTTTGATATTAGGAATAATCTCACCTTAGATTTTACGAATTCTACAACATCATTTTCCATAACGCTAGCACCTACTTGCTTGACGATAAAAGCTGTAGGAATTTCGCCAGTAAGTGTGTCTGGTATTCCTATTACTCCTGCGTCTTTAACTGCTGGATGTTGGAGTAATATTGCTTCCAGCTCTGATGGTGAGACCTTTGAAAACATATGCAGTTTACTTTTTAAAATTAATTTCAAAAGATTAACAAAAACTATGTTTATTGAATATCATGTTGTTTTTACTACCACGATATTCATATAGTGTTTGTGAAAATACTCGACTAGTTTGTCATTATTATTGATACAAAGTTCGAACAACCACCAAGTGACATTCTTTCGATACAAATGGATTAGAACGCTGCGTCTGTTGCCTCAACGTGGCTACCGCTCTGCCAACTGAGCTACGGATCCATTCAGCAGATCTTGCGATTGTTTCTATGTGCTTGCTGCAGGTCTTGGTATTGGGTTAAACGTTTTTTAAAACCCAATGCCAAAACGTTTTAAAGGTTTTTTGTCGTAGCGCCACCTGTGAGAATTTATGAAAGTACTTCACTCAGCCAGATACCTTTACACCTACCAAAAGAATCACAGAGATGTCGCTATATTCATTGCAATAAGTTTATTTTACTACTACGATATTCATCTATTTTTATGAAAATGTTCTACTATTTTTTATTCTTATTGTCACGTTGAGACGACAGACGGTGATTCGAATCCAGTAGGATCGAAGGAATTTTTATTGGTGTTTGTTGGATCTTTGTATAAATAATAAGATTAACAATCGTTTATTACTGTTTTTTTTTATTTGTAAAATGACTCCACTAGTTTGCCATAATTATTAAATACAAAGATTGAACACAAAGAAAATTTGCCGCTATCTCTGAGAGATTGTAGCAGGTTCGAGTTCTGTCGGGTCGCAGGAATTTTTCTTTGTGTTCGATCTTTGTATTTAACAATTACAGCAAAGTAGTGGAGTTAATTCACAAAATAAAAAACAAATCAATAATACATGTTGTGGTAACTGGAAACTTACCAGCTGAGTGAGAAGGTTCATAAAATCTCTTGCAGATGTCGCTTACGGCGCCAAAAGCCGAAAGCTGAAACGCAAAGATTGTAACAGATTCTGTGTGAACTTTATCGACTTGATAACTCGACCTGTATGCTTAATTGGAAGAGCAATGGAGACGGAATCCCATGGTCCCCGGTTCGAGTCCTGTAGGGTTGAAGTAACTTTCTTTTCTTTGTGTTCGATCTTTGTATTTAATAATTATTAACAAACGTTATTTTTTTTACTGTATAATTGCATGAAGGGGTAACATGAAAACATACATTTCTGTTACAGGCTAGTTTAAATTATAAGAATTAGTTATTTATGGTACTCACATTATACATTGTTTCTTACTTACTTGCCAGGTTTTGTATTTAATAAGTTCCTTCATTCTATCGACTATAAATAAAAAACCTTTCTCATCATAGTAACCAACGTCTCCACTTTTGTAATATCCTTCGTCGTCGTAGTCTTCAGTTGATTTTTTCCCAATGTATCCACCAAATAAAGCTGGTCCTTTCAAGCATATTTCGCCTTGCTGGTTAGGACTTAGAATTTTTCGAGTTTCTACATCTACTATCTGAAATAAAAATTGAGAAGTTATTTTAAAATTTGAACCTACTGGATTTCAGCGGGCTTATACTGGTTGTCATTTAATTAATAATGTATTTACCGTTAAATATGACCTAAGTCACAAGTGAATATTTGTAATGTTGCAGCTCATAGAAAATTGGAGTAGAAAATAGTAGCAGTAGAGCTACTTGTGAAAGAGTACATCCATGGAAGTACTGCCACCTTACCTATTTCTTCTGCCAAGCAGTAGTAATGTCAGCATTACCGAGTTCCGGTATTGAAGGGTAAGGGTGCTGAAGAAATTACAGGCACATGAGATTTGTCAAGTTATGTCTCAGGCTGACCGGCGTAGTGGCAGTGCCCCTTAGATCTTTGTGATTTAAAGCTCTGAGTGGCACTGTAACTGTTATGGACAGGCGTGTAGCTTACCATCAGGCGCACGACTTGTTCGTTCCGCATTTGATATTATAAAAAAGAAAAAAATACATAAAGAAAGAAATTTAATTTGAAATTTTCGGTGAAGGAAAATATCGTGATGAAACCGGCACGTCGAAGAAGGTTCACAACCCTCGGAAAATCCTAAGTTCACCTAAACAAATAGTTGTAAGCCCCAATTTATCAAACATAAAATCCTGACTCTCCTTGTTTCTGGATACTGCCTTCGTGGCTGAATGGTTACCTTACTGGTCACATGTAGTTGTCTATGCGTGCGTCCATGGCACCCGCGACACAGGGTTTCTCTAGTGCTATTAAAAAAAACTAGAAATTTGTAGACTTGTACGAAACTATCAAAAACCTATATCAAAATCGTAAACACACACCAATCAAATTTTTTTAAATAATATTAAGTGACGGAACGAACAAGTCATGCGTCTGATGGTAAGCTACACGCCTATCCATAACAGTTGCAGTGCCACTCGAGAGCTTTAAATAGTAAAGATTTGAGGGGCACTGCCACTGCGCCCGTCACCCCGAAACATAAGTTGACAAGTTCCATGTGCCTATAATTTCACCAGTACCCTTACCCTTCAAAACCGGAGCACGGTAATGCTGACATTATTGCTTGGCGGCAAAAATAGTCAAGGTGGCAGTGCTCCTCTGGACGAACTCTTTCACTAGGAGCTCTACTGCTGCTAATTGCATTGCATAATGCATTTCGTAATAGAAACAGATTAATATTACCATCTTCTAAATTAAATATGCTAATAATATTTTTCTAGCCCATACCACACACCATTATTTTTGTTGTATAATAGAAATATACAACAAACTTCCAGAAAATATAAAAATTGAACATTTTTTTAAACTTAAAAAAATTTCTTATAAATTAAAGCTTATAAATTAAAAATGTAAAAGAGTTTTTAGGAGATAGATTCTAGGTAGGTACTTGAGTTTGTTAATTAGTTGATAATAGACATACTTTTTTTATTTACTTTTAGTTACAGTAGAAAAATACATACATATAACAACATTACATTAAATTATATAAAACTATTGGTAGATATCTAATTGCATATTAAGTAAATATAACAATTTAATACTGATGAGACTAGTCCTCTCTTCTACTATTTGCTGTGCCCTTTCCAGGGTCTATAGTTGAATATTTATATAAAACATCTGTAATTTACATTATGGAACACAAATAATAATAGTATAACAATGATAACGCACACACTCAACATAGCCCCGCACCATGGAAACCCTGTGTGCCATGACACACACATAGACAACCTGTTGCGAACACAACGGAATTTTTGTAGTAAAATTTATTATAACTTTCAAAGCAGTAGGAAATGAAACTATTTTTCCGGATTTAAATCGCGTATATTTGTTTAACAATCGCGAAAATCTAAGAACTCGATATTTCAAAGCAGTAACTATACGCTCTCGTTAAGGGCACATTGCGTAGGCCGGGGGTAATATCTTGAACCAATCAACTAACACCACATACAAGTTATTTCATCCCTACCACAATTTAACGAAATTTTTATACGAACTAACAAAGGTCAAAAAGGACGTTCACTTTTGAAATGTACTTCCATAAGAAACCACCACTGTTTAGCGACTAATGGCACTACTCCTGTAAACCAGTAACCCATTGGCAATATATTACAGTCAACTTAAATCATCTTTAATTTTACGAGCTCGTCGAGATCCTTATTTGGGTCTGGCGGCTACACAACAACAAATTACACCCAAACTCACGAGAGAAATAAATGTAGGCCACACAAATATTTCTTCCGGCCCGGGAATCGAACCTGGGACCTCTGCGTGGCAGACCGGTATGGATGGTAACTATTCTGCTACGGAAGCAGTTAAATAAACAAGAATAAAGTCACCAACCCGAATGGGCTCAGCGTGGCAGAATATGGCCTAAATCTTCACCTGAGAGGAGGCTCGTGTACAGCAGTGGTACATATAAATGGATTGATATTGAAATGTAAAGGACACAAAATAAAAGTTCAAACTTCGCGATACCTTACTTACCTTTAAAATAAGTCCAGACTGTACTCTGCCGACACTGCCAAGCTTATTAAATTCTTCATCCTCTTCCGATATTTTTCCTGACGCTTCTGTCATTCCGTAACCTTGCAATACCCATTTTAGATTTGTAAATCTGTGATTTGTGAGAGTTATAACAATTAGTACTAGTCCGATATTGACTTAGTATATTAAATAACTCTTCCAATGCCCACCCGATGGTGTAACTTTGTAATAACAAAAAAGCTCTACACGTAGTATTTACGTATATGTTATTATATTAAATAAACAAGGTTGGTACAGAACACAGCAATGAAAAGGTTTCATCACGAATGTTATGAATTCGGAATAGGTAACGATTACATAATTAATCAAGAATTATTGTGACACGTTTTAAACTAGACATACCTGTAATTTACAAACATTCGAGTTGATAAGCCTTACCTATGTTTGCCTTCATCTACTACTTTTGGATCAAGAGGTGCACCACCAGAGTAAATTATCTCAACAGAATTGACATCGAAATCTTTTAAAATAGTCGATTTGCTCAAGATCACTACCAAGGTAGGCACTGCCATCAAGTAGTTCACCTGTATATTGAAATTTTCATATAAGTGCTTTAAACCAATAACGTCTAGATACCGTATGTTATGTCTGCGAATGGTATGAATTCTGTTAACAACTTATTTATATACACATTTGTTTATAATCCAGATTCTTTAACCTTGGTGTGAGGCCTTTACATCAATGTACTGAGTACTTTTTCAATCTTTATTTATTTAGAAACTTTCATACAATGCATACGTCAGTACCAGTGTAGCCTAAACTAGCTTATATGTCTGGACGGCGCTGTTAAAGAGCCGATTCAACAAATGGTAACAGACTTTTTGCCTTTTTTCGTATGGAAGTTGCCCAGTGTATAATAATTTATAGCACCTTCGGATGTTCCGACGGTAGATTAACAGTAATCTGCGGGTCTCTCAACAACGCTACCCTATGTTGGTCGTACAGGACACATTCTAGTAACAAGTGATTTGCATCTTCTAATATTCCACAGGACCGGCAATTTTAGATTTTTTTTTAACTAAGAAAACCAAACTGTTTAATGGAATGTGTTTCCGGGTACGCTATTATAATCAATCATCAATCAAGTAGCAGTAGAGCTCCTTGTGAAAGAGATCGTCCAGGGTAGTACTGTCACCATACCTATTTCTGCTGCCAATCAGTAATGTCAGCGTTACTGTGTTCCGGTTTTGAAGGGTAAGGGTGCCGGTGAAATGCAAGCACATGGAACTTATCAACTTATGTCTCAGGGTGACAGGCACAGTGGTAGTGCCCTTCAGATCTTTGCAATTTAAAGCTCTGAATGCCACTGTAACTGTTATTGACAGGCGTGTAGCTTACCATCAGGCGCACGATTTGTTCGTCCTGTCACTTGATGTTATAAAAAAAATGAAGCTAAAGGCCGTTAAACGTACAATATGTATCGAAACCTTAACGTAACATGCTACGTTGTTCTTGAAGTAAAATATTTTCAAAACTTGCTCTCATCAAGTCAATTATCTTAAGAAAGTCAAAACGTGAGTGAAGGGACTTGCTTTAAATTTTTCGATGCACTGAAGATACAAGCGTTCGTTGAATCTTGACATAAATACTATAGTTCTTCCATATACAAGAATCGCTCTTGTGTTAATGTACCCGACTGTGTTGGACCACGGGGCTACAGTTAGATATATTAAATCCCGCTCTGATGGTCTGTAAGAAGATTTTATTTCTATAATTTAACATATTAAAAATGGAATTTAGATAGGTATATTTTAGGTGCTATTTATGTGTAGAAATAAAGTCACTTATAATCTTGACCAGGCCATGATATTATTCTAGTAGCAGCTTGTGAAAGAGTTCGTGAAGGGAAGTACTGCTACCATACTTATTTCTGCCACCAAACCGTAATATGAGTATCATGTTAGTAATAGGTTTTGAAGGGTGCTGGTGAAAGTACAGGTACATGGGATTATCAATTTTATATTTCGGAGTGATAGACATAGATTTTTGCGATTTCAAGCTCTGAATGGCGCTGCAACTGTTAGGGCGCATTTACACTAGGTCGACAGGAATATTCTAGATCCAGGATGACACATTTTTATAAATAAATTAACTAATGATAATTTTCATGTTATTTTTAGGTGATTTTAAACGTTTATTTAATAAAATTCACCGATATGACTTCAACATTTGTGGCTGTCTATGTGTGTGTCCATAGCACCCGCGACACAGGGTTTCCCTAGTGCTGGGCTATGTTGAGTGTTGCGTTATTATAAAAAAAAAGAAACATTGCTATTATCAATAGCCTGATCGAATTTGGGGGAAGAATATTGAAATTGTGGTAACCGTGAAACAATCTGAGGTGCAAATACTATGTTTTAAATCATATGTTTTTTTGTTTGTTAACATTTATTCTTCATCGAATTTGGTTAGAGTATAGGTATAATCACTAAACACTGTCGGGTGACTCGGTCGCCTTTAGCAAGGACGGATGGTAGGCCAAATAAGTTGTAACATGTCGGCGTCACCACGATGCCCGTACTGGGGGCCGGAGACTACCTACCTACCTACCTACCTACCTAGAACAACCACTGCCCCCTTCACTGTGAGACATAAGTTGACAAGTTCCATGTGCCTGTAATTTAACCATGAACCATAGATCTACCCAAAGGTAACCAACAAGTAACCAGGTACCCAGCAACCTTATCCTGCAAAACTGGAACGCAGTAATGCTCACATTACTGCTTGACGGCAGACGTCCGTAAACTCGTATTGATAATTTTGTGATTTCGGCGAAGGCGGCAGTCCACTCGGTGTAAACAAGGGGGTCGAATTCGGGCAAATTCACGTACCGAAAAGGTAGGAGTCATCCCTGTGTAAAAACCACCAGGTTCGTCCTGGTACTTGGTACATGATATCATAAAAAAATGTTATTCGTCATTTCTTCATCAATAAAAACATTTTCTATAGACCCTGCGATCATTTAGTCCAACTAACTAGTTATCACACACCTATAACGTTTTCGACTTTTATCTGGAAAAGGAATACTGATAGAAGATATTTGCAAGTAAATGTAGCGAATAGTCCTTACATGGGTTGTGAAGCAGAAACTATCATATTAAGATGTGTCCACTTTACACCTTTTGGTAATCCTGTTGTTCCCGACGAATATGTTATTATAGCTGTATGCACGTTGCCTACAAAAATCATAAAATATGTTTAGAATGGCTCTTAAGTGCTATTTAATAAAAATAATTTATTATTAACTAACCTGGAAAAGTGGTTTCTGCAATGAGCGGAGAAATAGCAGGTAATAAAATTACGCTAAATAAATTTTACGATAGCCACTCCGTTAAAGTCGTTAAACACCAATTTGCGAGAGTTAAACTAAATATAATTTGTACATATGTACTCAGAAACGTCATGTATAATAATTTGATTATTCGCAAAGAAATATATATGTAAAAAAACATGGGTCCAATGGTTAGAGATAGATGGTTTTTTAGCGTAATATATTATTGATAATGTATGTAATTCGGTATTCTATATAATGCCTAAACCAGTCACTCAATGAATAAAATAAGGTATTTCTACACAATATCGCTAGCTTTTTCATATACTGACCTAATTTCAACCCACAGAATGGAAGGCCAAAGCAGTTCGGAAACGTAAACAAGTATTACAAAATTGATTATTTTGTCTTTCATTTAATACTTTTCCAAATCTACCGCTGGCATTCTATACAAACCTAGAATTTACATATAATGTCTAGGCAATGTGCATAACATTTGGAAAACGTTAACTATTTTATACATTTCTAGTTCTTAGGTTTACGCGATTGTTACACATACAAATAAATGCTATTAGATTAAAATAATAGAAGTAAATTGGAATGCTCTTTGTAAAATTCAAAATAAAGTATTTAATTAATAATTTTTGTAACTATATTGAAAAATAGAGTAGCTTGCTTTGATATTAGACAACTGATTGATGACTTTACCACCTCAGGTAACCGAGGCCATGGGACCGGGAAAAGGCCCGAAACGTTGATTTGTTTGAAAAAAAAATCAATACGCGATTTAAATCCGGAAAAATAGTTTCATTTCCTATTTTATACATTGCTTAAAGAAACCCGGCATTGTATAGAATGACGAGGTATTCTATACAATCACTGAATTATACACATTGTTGTTTATTTATATATATAGAGTTAAAAAGTGCTTTTCGAATAATAATAATTATCATTTTCTTATCATTGTAAGGATGATCTTGCATCTTTCATAAAAATATTGTGTCCATTGTTATCAGTTATTGAATAGTTTCTATAAAATGCAGATAACCTTGTCAGTTTTAATGTCGTTCAGGTGGTACCTCATTTCATATATTAATAGTGACGTGTTTCCGTTACATAACAACTGCCTTTGTTTAGTCATTTGATTTATTAATTGAGAAGTATAAAATGTTCATTTAATACGATTTTCCTGTTTTTTACTCATTTATATACATAACATAGACAGAAAATCATATTTAGCCAAAGTTGGATTATTTACATTGACTTCAATATAGAATAACAAAGAATCAATTTGTTAAGTTAAGTTAAATCATTTGTTAGATCTGGTAATCATAGTACAGGGGATTCCCTACTTTGAGTAATTGGTGTGGTTGCAGCCCAAGTCTTTGCCACCAACACAACACAGCATGTACAGCGTATCATGTCGTATTAAAAAATAGGCATGTATTCATATGATCATTTTAAAATTGCAAAAGCAGTAGGCAAAAAAATCAAAACGGTCATCTTTTTAATGATTGATCCTCTTTCTCTGAGACAAACTAAATTAAATCAATGGATATTTTAATCTATTCTGGGCTACGCAATAAATGTTTGATTTGTATAAATTAACTTTGATAGTTTTATGTTGGGCTTCAAAACTAAGACAAATGCAATAAAAATAAAATCTATATACTTATTTTTAAAACTAAGTAAACTCATTCAAAAAGTTCGTTTCGCTCGCTCGGTTCGTGCTGCTTATTCATATACAAACCTAACCTAACCTACTGAATGAAGAGCGCCACCAAGCACCCAAGATTCATTGGGAGATCAACATCAAGATATTATATTGGTTATAAATGTCATCAATCGTTAAAGTAAAAGACCTATAATAAAAAGAGGATGGAATATTATTTTTGAAAACCAAATTTTAATTCAGTATACTTAAACATAGTGATAGTGTTACCTTGAATGCAGTTCATTTATAATTTATCTGTAGATCAACTAATATAGATGGAACAATTAATATATATATCAAATGTAAAAAAAATCGTTTATTTAAAAAAGTGCACATTTACAATAGATCAATTATATCTTTGAGGATCAAATAATATTATCCCTAAAAAATATACATATAATGTGTCATAAAACTGACAATGCCTATAGTAAAAGTAATATTACTTCTAGATGTGTTTATTGTGTATAAATGATTTTAATATGATACCTGATACGTTATGCTCAAAAACTTTATAGAAATGCTTACCTATAGTATGAATGTAACTAGTTACATATTGATATTAGAAATGCTTACCTATAGTATGAATGTAACTAGTTACATATTGAGCAGCACTACTTGTAGAAAGTTTATATGATTAATATGGTTTCTTTTATATGATAATGATGTAGTTATACATGTAATTACTTACCATCGACTACTTCAGGTGTGCTAGTTTCTGCATCAACTTTGGATCCTACAAGTTCCTTAAAACTTATCGTGTCTTTTTCCATTTCACCGTCAAAAATAAAGAATTTGGAAATACAGTTCAGATTTTTGAATATGTCCCGACCTTTCACATAGGTGCTTGGAGAAAAAAACACGTACCTCGGTTTAGATATGTTCGTTGTGTGTAGAATTTCATCTAAAAATTTATCATTAGTATTATTATTATTAGTTACTTAATATAGACAAGAAGAATGAAGGGAATAAGTTGGTTTAATTGGGCGACAAATGAGGGAAAGTTAGCACACGTTAAGAAAAAGGAAGTATAATAAATACTAAGAGAATACTCGTATAAGAAAGTGACGGATTACCTTTATGCGACACAATTTCAGTAAAACATCACCGGGGATAGTCAAAGAAAAGAAGGGTGAGTAAGGATAAGAGCGGTTACACACAGCGATATTTAGCAGTGATACAAACGCGCGTATGTGTAACGCGCTGTTGCATCTATGCAAATGCGCGATTGCATCGATGCAAATGCGTGATTACATCGATGCAAACTTATGTTCAATCACTAAAAACGTACATCGCGCATGTGTGTAAAGGTAGACGATTATTGTCTGCATTGCAACGGAATCGCTGAAGACGCGCTGTTAAAATTCGCCGCGTGAAATCGATGAAACTACATAGATTACTACGACTTTGAGGTGATAGATGAAGGTATTCAAGGTGAGAAGTGAAATAAGATGATTATGTAAGAGACATGTAGTAGTTGTTTTAGTTACCTTTGCTATAACCATTGTTAATAAAAGTTACAATTGCTCCTATGTAAATAATAGCATAGATTGTCACTATGAATTCAATTCGGTTCTCACTATAAATAGCTACAACTTCCCCTTTTTTCACACCAAGTCTATTAAGTGATTGTGCTACATCCAATATCTGTTGAGCCATATCTTCGTATGTAATCTTCTCCTCAGTAACGCCATCAATCTTAGATGTAACATACATAATTAATTAACTATAATCTTAGTACAATGTCTTAAAAATAAGTGTTACTTACCAAAGCAATTTTGTCTTTGAATCGTCGAAACTTGTCCAAAATAAATTTTCCATAATTCATATGAGAAGGTATGACTATGTCTTGATTTCCGTAAAGAATATTGTCTTTAATTTTCATTTTGTTTAAAGAGTTAGTTTGTCTTTACCATACGCAATCTCGTAGAAGAATGATAATAATTTGTTAGCCGTTGAAAATAAATTCGTCCAGTGCGTAGCTTTGGTTCCGTAATGTTATATTTCTATAGTTTAAGTTGTAGATAGACTTGGGCCGTTTATTGCTTGTCATGCTTGCATGTCATCCTGATATGACCAATAACAGTTGTTTGTATTGGTGGTCATATTTGGTCAATGTTAACATTCGGTATGCAAAATTAAATTTATAAATCGCAAAGGTGGAACGGTATTGCTGTTCAGTGGCCGGCAATTTTATAAACAACGTTGTAGAATAAGTCCCAGTAGGGTAACTCTATACAAAAATTGCAGCGTGTCTTGTATGCACGCCCACCGCGCGTCGTGTAATGACGCAAGGGTCAGTGGAGAAGAAATCCAGTCTTGTCGAGAGTCCATGGTTAGTCGTTTGAATTTGACACTTACGGTAGTCTTCGATTGGAGCGATGCCAATCTTGTCAAATTTAATGCTACCAAAACGCAGGCGTATCTTTTCTCCACTAAGCGGAGTTCCTTTCACCTGACTCCGACTTTTCGTGATATATCCATACCGATAGCCGACCGTCTTCACTTACTTGTAACGGACCTGTCGTCCAATCTGAACTTCGGCAGATACATTGAATCCATCCTTTCCGAGGCGAGGCGTTATTTCACAACGGGACAGTTGCTTCTGCTGTACCAAGCACAAGTCCTGTCGTGTATGGAGTACTGCTGCCACTTATGGGATGGCTCTGCTAAATACCAACTGGCCACCTTGGATTCAATAGACAAGCGTGATAATTGGCTTATAGGTGACTCGGAATTAGTAGAGGCGAAGCTGCAGAGCCTTGAACACCGCCGTAGAGTTACCAGCTTATCGGTGTTCTACAGGATATATCACGGAGAGTGTGCGATGTTATTGCATATATTGATTCCGCCTTCCCCTTTCCATCATCGGGAGATAAAGATGTGGGAAGGGGTTCCATCCCTATGTTGCGGATATTCCCCGGATACGCACGAAGCGTTTCGCTTCCACATTTGGATGGCGAGCGGCTAGGGAGTGGTTTTTCCCTGCCTGCAGACTTGTTCCCCGAACGCTATAACTTGGACCTTTTGAAGGCGAGAGTGAATAGGCATTATTTATTTGTGCATACTACATCCTCGACCTCATCGTCACTTTCCATCAAGTGAGATGGAGGTCAAATGCGCACTTATTTTTTTATAAAGAAATGCACGCATTCGCATAATCTCGTGGTGAGTGCACTTGCGTTGCAGTGGCGTTGCATAGCGCGGGTCGTCGCATGCTCCATTCACAATAGTACTTAAGCGTTCGTTCGATGTCTTAAAAATGAAAATAATTAATGAAAAATGACATCAATTAAACGTGTTTATTGTTGTGTTTTTATTGGTAGAACAAGAACGCCTCAAATTCAGTATTGTCGCTCTTCTCGGTACCTACTAAACATGTGAAGTAAGTTACATATTTTTTATTTATTTGTTTATTTGACGACTTTGGTAGTTCGGTGGTTAGCACGATGGGTATAAGATGAAAAGTTCCCGAAACGAACTATTCTAAATAGGTTCTGAATTGGGTGTCCTGGATGATGCCCCGGGTAAATTTCGTTGCTCTGGTACTCATAGTACATTGAATTCCTTAATTTAGGTATTAAGCGTGGTCGCCTGGCATATTTATTATATTATTATTATTATGTTTTTCTTTTCTCTTCATTTCAATATAGCACGAAAACACTGATGAATACCTTAATATTTTCAAATTATGTTTATAACCTGTAGCGACAACTAAAATAATAATGTGACTACCCTATGCTCCAAACGAACTGTAGATTGATGTGCCAACAAACGGGAGTTGCCCTACCTGGTCTTATTTTACAGTGCTAAAAGCGTGTACAATATGTATTCCTTAATACGATATATGATGATTCACTCAAATTAATACACAACTACATTATATTTATAGCGTGAGAGTGGCATTAACTATTAATTAGATTATCGCACTGACCTACGATTGCTGGGGATGTATAAGATTTTTTACATTTTGGCACCAAAATTGTAGATTTACAGTTAATTCCCACTTGTTACGTAAGATAAAAGATAATTAATGAAAAATATACATTATAATGAAATAGTTTATGGAACCCTAATGAACTATTCGACTTATCTGATAAAGTAATACATTTAGTATTGTGTTATTTACGTAAAGTTTGAACGTTTTTTTAGTATGGACCATGGACCAAGTTATTGGTTTGGACATATCCATTTCGTGATGATAAAAAAACCCGGGATTCATAGATTTCAATGCATATAAAATTCAGATGATGAATAAAATTTATATAGGCATTTTCAGTTTTATTTAAAACATGTAGATTTATTATAATAATTACAATGTTTATACATACTGACTTACTAAAGTAATTGTTCTCTAAAAAAAATCAAGACTTCCGCAAATCCTGCGAAGATATGTGTCTGAACAAAAAAACAGTTATCAAATAATGACTGTATCGTGTAGCCACGCAATCAAGCGGTGTTTTTTATCGTGCGGTTTATGTATTGGGCCGTCTTCTAATTACTAGTACGAGTATGTATACATGAATGTGCCTATCTGTTGAAATATTGTCCTGAAAAAAAAAACTCATAGATTTCTCACAGATGGAGCTGCGCCAAAAAAAAATCTTTTAAACCAAAAATAAAGATCTGCATATAGAAAAATTTGTAAGGTCTGCTGGTTCGTTCCGTAGCTCAGTTGAGAGAGCTTTAACCACGGTATGGCGAGGTTAATTTAGGTATGAGGAGGAATATTTCTTTGTGTTTGATCTTTGCATTAATAATTATAACAAACTTGAGGAGTAATTTCAAAAAATAATTGAATATCAGGGTAGTAAAAAATATCTCCCAATCTTCCAATAGAGTGTAGCTATTAATCAATGTGTGCTAGAAGTTACTTCGACTTAGACGAGCTGTAGTAAGCGTACATGCAGAGTGGCAACGTGTAGTTTTTTTTAATGTATAATAGACACACGCTTGGCCACAATCTTACCTGATGTTAAGCGACGATGTGACCGACGATGGAAAGTTCGATGCTAGTTCTTTCTTCTACGTAACTGTTTGTGATGTATCCATCCAGCAGCCTCTCTGGTAACACCTTCTCCTGCAACTCTGAACCGATCTACTACTCCTATTACTGAACTTGGTACTTAACTGTATACTAAATTTTTTCAAGTCTTGTCCAAAAAGGAAACTTCATCGGACACTTGCCAGTTATTGACATGATTCTCTCTTCTTCTATTCTTTTTAATGATATGATATGGCGGGATGGACAAGCTTGGTGGAAAGCGACACGCCCATGGCATGACAGCTGCATTAAGTCGCAAACACCTGAAGAGCTGCACTGCACTTGTGATCCTGAGATGTATAGTTGACAAGTCTAAGTATATAATATTATACATAAAATAAACTATTATAAACAAAGTCGATAGCCCGTAGCATGACGCCGCAATTAGCTATCAAATTAAATTGATAAAGCTGCAATTTTTATTTTTCACTATAGCGAATATGGCGAGCACCGTGACGTCACATTTTTGACGCACAGCGCGCGCCTCAATCAATGGCCGCGAAACAATATTGCAGTGTCAAACATGGTCACAGCGGATTTTAAAACATTTTGTCGGTACTGCACGGTAATTTTATCAACGTAAAAATTGAGCGCGACAAACGAAATAAACAGAAACAATAAAAAGAAACAGCATGCGTAGTATGACAGCATATCGCATGCAATATGTGATAAATATCCCCGTGACATACACTCCATAAAGCTATGTTGCCTTTATTAAAATTTTATTTTTTGTTTATTTGATAATGAACGATTTTTTGTTTCATCGTTTTACAACGATGCAATTAAAAGGGTTATTATTATTGGTTCTCCGGGAATCGAACCTGGAACCAGGAGCTACGGAATTCACTTCGCGGTATTGCCCAGAATACCTAGGCCAAAACCACTTTAGCAAAGTTCATTTTTTAAATTGGTTCTACCGGGAGTCGAACCCGGAACATAAGACTACGAAGTTCGCTCCGCGGCACTACCCAAAATACCTAGACGGCCACAAAGACACTTCAGAAAAAGTTCATTTCAACATTGGTTCTACCGGGAATCGAACCCGGAACCAAGAGTTACCCAGAACAACCCAGAACAACCCAGAACACCAAGGCCAAAACCACTTTAGAAAAGTTCATTTTCAAATTGGTTTGACTGGGAGTTGAACCCGGAATATAAGACTACGAAGTTCGCTCCGCGGCACTACCCAAAATACTTAGGCGGCCAAAAACACTTTAGAAAAAGTTCATTTCAAAATTGGTTCTACCGGGAGTCGAACCCGGAACCAAGAGCTACAAAGTTCGCTCCGCGGCACTACCCAAAACACCTAGGCCAAAAACACTTTACACAAGTACATTTTCGAAATTGGTTCTACCGGTAATGAAACCCGGGACTTTCTCACCCACGCAATATTATTTGCATGTACATATAATCTACAAATTGCTTAAACACGACCACAGTAGAGGCGGCAGCAAGCGGCCGTGGGAGACGTCGAGCTGCGCCGGGAGCATTTTATAATATGCATTATAATATAGAACATATTATCTACAGAATAAAGTATATATTGCTTCTATCAAAAGAGAAAAACCGAGCCGCGTCGGCGACCGTTGGCGGCGCAGCGCGACGCAGCGCTGCTTTTTGAGAAATAATATCCAAAAAAGAAAAGAAAGAAATATCGACTTTGTTTAGTAAATATGAAATTCTATACTACATTGCATCTACCACGCAATATGCCTTTCAAAGAAATATACCTTATTGTTGAGAAGCTAATTTACACTTTGCATTGCTGAAGGCGGAACAAGTCGCCTACGGTTACCGACGTCGCCAACCGTAACCTACCGTAGGTGACGCAGCGCTGCTTTTCTCTGTTGTTTGAAGAAATGTACACCTTATTTAGTGGAGAATATGTTCTATAGTATATTGCATTTTATAAAGTGGGCCTACCGCAGCTCTCTGCAGCCCGCCGTCGCTTACTGCATCTTCGTTTTCATTTGTTTGTTTAATGAAATGTTGCCTTATTTTGTTGAGGATAAAGTTTATCTTGCATTGCTCGCTTGAATGCAAGCCCGCGCCGCGTCGCGTAGCGTCTCCGCGATGTGAATCAAGCCTTAGAGTAGCAGACACAAGTTCTTGGTTTATGTAAACTTGTAGCAGATATTAGTTCACCTCTTAAATGTACATTTATCTCTTTGTTAAAGCCAAATTTTATTTCTTCCTATTTTCTCTAAATCATAAGATAGACATAATATATTATGTAGTTTATCTTATCTAGATGTCTCATATCGCGTCTCATTCCAGGTTATTTCTAAGAAAATTTACAATGAAAATCTTTTAAGCTCACATGTCTATGTGGGTAATTGCTTTCCTATAATTCGCAATCGCATGTGATATGCACATAGACATTTTTATTTCCCTTTCAGATATATTATTTCAATGCTAACGCCTGATACAAATCTATAACAATTTTATTAGATCTTCATTCTTGCACAATCAAATTTATTGACAATACAAACAGCAACATCAAAAGCATTGGTTATGTAATTCATTGGCCATGAAATATTCATGACGACACTAACCTTCCAATATTTGTATTTGATAAGCTCATCCAATCTATTCTACAAAGCGAAGTCTGCTTTGCCGTAGTACGCATTATTGCGCGTTTGGTAAAACCAGTCCTCAAGTGCACACAAAGAAACGATTCTTTCCGAGTTTTCTGACATAGCTGTCATAATCATCTGACCCTTTTATGCATTCACTTCTTTCGGTTCACGGAGTCCTAACATTTTTATCTAAATATTTTCTTAGGACGTTAAAATCTCGGATATTTTTACTTCTCATTCAAACCTCCATTCTATGTTTTTCGATTTATATGCGAAATAATATAAAAATTGAGCGTATTCCCAAAAGTAAAACAAAAGTTGTTTATTGCATTACAGAAATTCAGTAATATGAGGTTTAGCGATTACTAAACAAGCTATATATCATTTAAGCAGCGGTCTGATTATGTTTCAAAAATACGTCATCATCAAAACGAACTTGAAATCGAGAATCAACATTAGGACTTTAATAAAACAGTGTAAAACTTATCAATGTATTGATTTCAAGGCTTAGCATATTATTGAGGAATCAATTACATAGTTTCTAAAGGTTGAATTACAATTTGCTCGTAGGAACAATTTCAAGCATTGCGCGCAGTTGTTTTCGAAGAATCTTTCCGCTTCCAGTCTTCGGGATCTCGTCGATAAATCTTACTCCCCCTCTTAGTCTTTTCCATGGTGATACCTAGCAAATGAAACAAACAAATGTAGTTATTGTACAAACTTCTTACTGCTTATATCAATGATATGAACAATGTTTGCTTGTGTTAAACACAAGCTGTGTTGTGGCGGTGTAAACAAACTATAAGAGTTCTTAGATTTTCGCGATTGTTGTTGTTGTTATGGTTGTTTTTCAAACGAATCAAGATTTCAGGCTCTTTACAGGTCTCACAATCACACATGATTCTTAGTAAAAAGAAAATAAATATACATAGTTATATGTATTATATATATATTAGTATAATAGTTTAATTTTCAAGAGCCATCGGTAATATTTTTGTTAATGACATAGTAAGTGCCCATTTGACCTCCATCTCATCTGATAGCAAGTGATGATTAGGTCGACAATGGAGCAAGCGAACCTAAATAATGCCTATTCACCCCGCGTTGCAAAGGCCTAACTTATAGCGTTCAGGGAATATGTAGGTACGTAAGGAATTCCACTCCATAGACGTTCGTCATATAATATTTATAACCTGATCTACCGCATAACTCTGAACAGCTGCTTCTGTGCAATAAAAATTAACATACCTTAGATGAGACGAAATCCATAAGTTCTTTTTCACTGACTATGCCTTTCTTCACAGCAAATGCAACCGGTACCTCACCAGCCACCTTGTCAGGGATACCAACAACACCAACATCTTTTATTGCTGGATGCTGAAGTATCACTGATTCGAGTTCGGAAGGTGCCACCTGAAATAATAACAAACTAAAATGATACTTCAAAGACTTAACTATGTAACAATATTCACCGTCATCCAAACGTATTTGTTTCCAATTAAAAGACTGATAGAAATCTTACGAACCGTCTTGCTCAATTCAATCTATTGACTATACTAACATCAGAAGCATTTGTTACGCAATTTTATTAGCTATCAAATATTCATAGCCACTAACCTGCCAAGCCTTGTATTTGATGAGTTCTTTCAATCTATCAACTACGTAGAAGAAACCTTCTTTGTCATAATATGCAATATCGCCAGTTCTATAAAAGCCATCTTCATCAAGCTCTTGCTTTTTGCAGACATAGCCATTGAACAGAGCTGATCCTTTCACGCATACTTCACCTTGTTGGTTGGGCCCTAAAGGTTGTCTTGTTTTTAAATCTACCACCTAGAAGAAAAATGTAAACATCAGTGTGATGGTTTTACTATTATTAAATTAAAAATAGTGAATTTTGTTTTTCAAATTTCGTCTCTAGTTATCAAGTTCTTAAATTTTTGCGATCGCTATACAAAGTTTCATATTCAATTCACCTTTAGTTGTTACGAACGAATCTTTTAATATATCTACGATACTTTTCTTTGTCTATTTGGAACGGTTTTTTAAAGTAAAATGTGTGTAATTTGTACCTTGATGACAATTCCAGGCATAATTTTTCCACAACTGCGGCCTTGCTTATTCATGGTTTCCGTTTCTGTGGTAACGGCTCCCGTAGCTTCAGTCATGCCATATCCTTGTAGAACGATACGCAGGTTTGGGAATCTGAAATAAGGATAATAGGTACTTATTTGTACTTACACGCACATATTATATACATTTATTGCATTATACTTCTAATACTGCATTGATCTTTGTTTAAAGTCGATATTTTTAATTCAAACCTCTGCTTTGCTTTATTGATTATCTTATCATCAAGGGGTGCACCACCGCTTATCATCGTTTTCACCGAGCTCACATCAAAGTTCTTTAATATTGTTGACTTGCACAACATTACTACTAAAGGGGGAGCTATCACGAGAAATCCAACCTGTAAAAACAAATAATTTAATTTACGATATTCTCCTTGCTTCTGTATTTGGTATTTTCCATCACACTCTGTAGTGAGTGTGAATAAAAAATGCTAAAGGAACAATTATCTTACCTTATATTTTTCAATAACCTCTAAATATAATTGCTCATTGAATCTAGAAAGGAAAACAACAGTTTTGCCATTAAAGAGGCATTTTGTTGTAAGATCCCATCCCATACAAGTACACCACGGCGCGACCATGAGTGTTCTTAAATTTCGCGAGGTTGGTCTGCAAAAATGTTATCCAATATATACTTAAATATTAAATAATCAATTATGAAAATTGGCAGCTGATTCGAATAAAATCGGAACTTATTTTAAAAAGTTAAACAAATATTTCTGTATTCCTAACTAAATGTAGGATTTAACAACTACGTAAAATTTATTAAATTTTCTGAAACCAAGGACTTACTAACTCTGGTTGTTGTGACGTAACAATCATGTTAACATGTGTGATTTTAGCTCCTTTAGGTAAACCTGTAGTACCAGATGAATAGAGAATGATGGCTGTTTCTGATCTGCCTGTTGATTGAAAACTTGCGTTAATAATAAGCCCTGGTAATAACTTCATAAATTAGGTAAATCTGTCAGCGAAATACAACTACATTCTATTTATTACACAATAAGTAAAAGTATACAGGTAAGGTACAATAAAAGCATAAATACTAGAAACTAACACTAGGACTCAATTATATGAATAAAATTGCATCCCCGCGGCAAGATGCTGGTGGCGTTCCCCCTGTAGTATGGCTATGCTAATACATTGGGCAAAATAGCTGTTGACCCTTGGGTTTCCTAGGGAGTATTATTTTTTGGACAAAATTATGTACAGATGGAGGGCACCGGGACCCCACTGGCCAAGGGTTTCGACTCCAAATGCTGTAAATAGGTAGTCGGAGCCGAGGTCCTTATTACTCTTTATTCTTTACGCCAGCTCAGCTGCGGAGCCCGCCGTCTTGCTGGTGTGCTGGAGAAGGGATGGGGCAAGTGTGTCTGCACAAGTAGCGGCCCATACCAGTGCCCGGCCCATACTAAATTCTTGAGTATTATTACAATAAGTAATAATAATTTATTTATCGCAATATAAACAAATACAATACAAAACAATAAATAAATATAAACAGTGTTTACTAACAACAATAGTGGTGAGAGAAAAAGGTCTGTAGAACAGCACAATGGCGAGAGTGTCTTAGCGCCGCTGATTTTCTGTTACAGCCTGGCAAGTCCATAAAAAAGAAGACGAACTAACACACACCATAGTTCAAGTTCTACGATATTAACTGCCTCAGTGGCCGAACGGTTACCATGCCGGATTGCCACCTAGAGGTCCCGGGTTCGATTCCCGGGCCGGGAGAAATATTTGTATGACCTACATTTATTTCTCTCGTGAGTTTAGGTGTAATTTGTGATTGTCTACCTATGTGTGTGCCCATGGCACCCGCGATACAGGGTTTCCCTAGTGCGGAGCTATGAGTGTGTGTGTAAGCAGATTATTAAATACTTATCACAAAACAAGAATCGTTACCTATATATATATTATATTACACATAGAGCACTACCCACATACAACTACACGACAACGTCTACCTCTAAGGTTTGTCTGTACAATAACCAATTAAAGCATTTCTTACGGAAATTACGTTATGACAATATAAGACAGTCTCGTAAAGGCGGAGGAAGATCGTTCCATACCTTGGATAATATGTAAATAATGTTATAGTATACATATTAATACTGTGTATTCTAATATTTACCGTAGAAGTCTGCGGGTATTATGGATTTACTATCAGCGAATTCCTTAGCTAGGTCCGTGAAAGATAAAGTTCTTGCTTTGTTAAGAGAGTTACCAAAAACGCAGTACTTTCGGATAAATCTAACGTGGAGAAAACTCTTGGCGTGCTTGTTGTATGCGTCCTCTGACAAGAACACAAATCTTGGTTTTGAAATACTGACAGCATGCACGAGCTCATCTGAAAATATTATTAAAATCCACAATTTGAAAACATTCTTTATTGCACACGGACAAATACAAAAAAAGTAAAAATGACAGGTACAACGAGCGGCCTTATTGCTAAATAGCAATCTCTTCCAGGCAACCTTGAAAAATATTTCACAGAAACATTTTTTTGGAAAAACAAATACTTACCTTTGCTATAAGCACTATTAATGAAGGTAACCACAGAACCAATATAAAGCGCCGCAATTGCAGCAACTATGAATTCAATTCTGTTTTCGCTACAGATAGCAACCACTTCATTTTTCTTTAAGAAACGCTGCAAGCTCGCAGCGACATTTAATATTTGCTGGGCCAATTCGGCGTATGTAATGTGTTGTTCCGTAACTCCATTTATCTACAAAGAAACTAATTACATATTAAAAAAAAAATGTTTTTGATACGTTAATTGAAGCTAAGTAAAGTTAGCAAATAACACACAAAATTATTTAGTAGCAGTAGAGCTCCTTGTGAAAATGTTTGCCTAGGAAAGTACTGCCACTTTACATATTTCTGTCGCCGAGCAGTAATGTGAGCATTAATGCGTTTCGGTTTTGAAGTGGTAAAGGTGCTGGTAAAGTGACAGGCACATGGGATTTGTCAACTTATGTATGTCGCAGGGTGACTGGCACAGTGGGAGTCTCCATCTCACCTGATGGAAAGCTATGATGAGGTCGCCGATGGCATACACATGTAAATAATGCCATTAATTCTCGCCTTGAAAAGGTCCTTAAGCGATCTTTGCAAACAATTTTAAGCAGACTATAAACAAAGGACTTACAAGAGCAACTTTATCCTCAAAGTCTATAATTTGTTCAAGAAAGTGTTTTCCATAATTCATATGAACCGGCAGGACAAGGTTTTGGTGGCCAAATATAATATTTTTATGTACAGACATGTTATCGAACAAATAAATAAAAACACAGCTGTGACAAAGTAATTCGGGCACTGGTGTAATTGGCACTAACAAAAATAAATGCTAAATGTAACCAAGAACATAATTTTATCTAATGGCCTTGATGTATGTAAAGATTACAGTAACGTAGGTTAGATAATAATGTTTTTTAGCTGCTATAGAGCATTGTTTTATAAGCGAACTACTTTTGCTTATATTTGCGCTTGGTTTTTCTGATACTTTCTTTTATGATACCAAGTGACGGGACGTTGTGCACCGAGTGGTAAGCGATACGTCTGTCTATAACCGTTGCAATGCCACTCTGAGCTTTAAATCACAAAGTTCTAAGGGGCATTGCCATTGCACCCGTCACAAAGCGGAATGCTTATATTACTACTTGGCGGCAAAAATAGGCAAGTAAGACGAACTCTTTTACAAGGTGCTCTACTGTTACTAAAAATATATTGAACCTTCCACATTTACCAATAAGATTGGCTACTGTAGCCATCTAAGGGCACATGAAAGAGCAAACAACCGTAGCTCTAATTCTAAACCATAGCAGTCGCTGTTGCCGAAACTGGCTAGGACATACACACACAATTTAACTTAAAACATATTACTTAGCTTAAAATTGTGTTAAGGCCAGATACGCGTTATTACTGCAATGTGCTGTACAGCCGAGAAATACTATGCAAGCTACGAAAAAGTATACCTATGATAGAAATTTCTGTCTTTCTTTAGCTACGATTTGGTGACTCGTATTTTTTAAAAAACCAACACGAATCCATACGGGTGTTTCTTACGACTTATGTTGAATATAATTGTATAGGTCTGCTTATATGTCAAACTAGATAACAAAATAATCTTGTAGCATAACAGGCAAATAAAAAATAAAGACGTTGATAAAAGTTATCTCAATTTGAGAACATCGCAGAATAATAAACACAACTTGTGTGTATAATTATATTTTTCTCTAAACTCTGCTTTTGATATAACAGTGTTTATTTGACAAGGTAGTAATTGTATATGTATATTATTAATTGTCACCTACGTTATAAAAAATATGTTTAAATTTTTTGGGGTGACTCCGTCTTAGCACTGAATTTTAAAACGAAACATTAAATACAAATTTTCCGAATAAGTAAAGTGATTATTACACTGCCTTGCAGGATTAGCATGAGCTAAGCTTAGAATCGTTGCTTGGCGCGGGGCAGTGTGTTAATCGCCTAAAATAAATTTGCTAATTGGTTATGGGTTCCTTAGGGAAAGTTGTTCCGTATTGTGGAAAGAGTTATTCAATGAAATTTCCAACGTATTTTTTTTCACTCTGTATATGTTTGTTAACTTTTTGTAACACCCGAAGGTAGATTATTCAGGATCCAAATAGAGTATAAAATATTGAAAACTTCTTTCTTTTATTTATTTTTAAAATTTTCTATGAAACAGGAGTGATTATATAAAAAAATATATACAAATTGGAGTCGTTTAAATTCGATGACTTGCCCACTGTTAAGTGTTAGTACTAGCTTTAAGTTTTAGTATTCCAGTGCCCGAAAAATTGGGAAAATAGTTGCACTGAATACTGCGGCAATATAAAAATATTGTGGGTATTGTTTGGTTATTTAAAATTGACATGCCTGTATTGACCAATAACTGAAAAAAGCGCTGATAGCGAGGCAAGGGCATTTGCCAGATAAATAAAATCGCACCACTCATGGAAGAATGGTATAAGTGGAGTTACGTCAAAAATGTTATTGCTGCATTAAATACAGAAAAATATAACCCACATCCGCTCCAATTCTTGTAACTCTATCGACAGTATTAGTCGAGTATGTAGTCGAGTTTAACCGACTTCAAAATAAAGGAGGAGGTTCTCAATTCGCTTGTATTTTTTGTGTATATGTTACGCGATTACTCCTATATTTGTGAACCGATTATCCCTCAGTAGTGGTCTCGTTCAAATTTGAAGAAAATATTGCACCTCTAACGGTGGCAAATTAGTGGATGAATCCGGTTTATTGCATTTCACGCACTTTCCGATGAGCAATTTCAGTAAAACTTGGCAAATAGATGTAATTCCACAAAATTTTGAGGTCGGTTTTTTTAATAAAAAAGTTATATTCATTGAATTTTATAGTTTTTGTTATCATTATTATATATTTCATGAGCTAAAAACAAAACATTGCTATATAACATAAACATAACTAATTTTACAAAAACATTTCTATGAGCAGTGTATGCGTTCGTATTGTTGCATGTTGATATGCCTCGTAGTGTGCGTGAGAGTCGTTAATAAACGGTGTCACTTAACCTTAATCCTTGTATGTAGATCTCACCGCTGAACATGAGTCTCTTCTAACAAATGGTCGTGAACAGTACTTTAATATTAAATTTGGAGTTGGATATTGTTAGTTATAGTTAGATAGGTGTAATTATTTATTCAATATTAGTATTAATTTTTATTTTTCTAAAAAGTAATTTTGTTAATTTAGTTTCGATGTTTTTATAATTTAACTACATTTTTATTTCTTTAGGAATTTCGTTTATTACATAAGGTATATTTTAATTTATTTTTAACCGACTTCAAAAAAAGGAGGGGGTTATGCGTTCGGCTGTATGTATGTTTTGAGATATCTTTTCAATTGTAGACCTATTTTGAATATTCTTTTTTTGTTTGAAAGGATGCACGTCAACCAAGCCAGAATCTCCGTTCTATCGTCACGTCGTACCGTTCTATCGTCAATGTCTGTGTCTCACTACCATATAATGCAATACTCCAAATGTACACCTCTGTCAGCTGGTCCGTTTTGAAATGTTTGTTTTTAAAGTCTGTTTATATTAAGGCTTTATTTTTTCATACTGAAGTATAAAGTTAGGATTTACAATAACACAGGTACATACCATCACGCTTGTTTCACATTGGGGTAGGTAGATACCACGAACGTTCACTCGCAACGCTCCTGACAAATCTCTTTCACCTTTTCCTTGGGGATGTTTCTGCTAAATACCAATTGACCACTTTGAAGTCAGTTCCAAAGCATGCCAAGAGGCTTATAGGTGATTCATACAGTCTTGAAGACCGCCTTATAGTTGCCAGCTTATGTATTCTACAGAATGTATAACCGAGAGTGTGCGATGAAATTGCATTTTTAAATTCCACCTCCACCTTTCCATCAACGGAGGAACTAGACCCCCACCGTAAACCAGCCTACGTCTAGACGTACGGCTGGTTTTTGGCTGTATGCTGCACCCATAGGGGTGGAACACCACGAAGCCTTTCGTTTCCATTTTGTGTGGCGAAGGCTTTTTTGAGGTGATACTGAATAGGCATTATTTAGGTGCGCTACATCGTTGACCTTATCGTCACGTTCATCAGGTGAGATGGAAGTGAAATGCGCATTTATTGTTTTATACAAAAGAAAGAAAAATATCTTAAGCAGCCAAACTAAAAGTACAAAGAGAAAATGGACATATACGAAGAGACTTATTGCAACAAGTAGATTTATAGTTTGTTACAATTTAGTACTTAAAATGGTTTACAAACCTTGTCATATAAAGCAAATGAAGTTTAGAATTGTAAAACCTGTGCGTAGATATTTTAGATGCGTATCTAACACTGTTCACCCATTATATGCCGCACGTTTACTCGGCTCATGATCTGTGGAGTAGGTAAACGTAATTTGTTAGTACGCCTGCGCGACCGGCTCGCCCACGCGATGTGCTCGCGCCGCTGCGGCGACTTCTCACGATGTGACTCATATACCATCGTTATTTTTTAATATAAAACGTCAATTATGCAACTGGTTTAGAATTCTTTACAGATTGGACCGAGATATATTAAAAATTTAATAGTTTGACACCCATCATTATCACAAATACCTACCAACTTTGAAAAGCGAATTTTTAGTAAAATTTTAGAATATATAAATTATTTAGTAGCAGTAGCTAGAGCTACTTGTGAAAGACTTCGTTCAGGGAACTGCTGCCACCTTACCTATTTCTACCGCCAAGCAGTAATGCGAGCGTTACCTACTGCGTTCCGGTTTTAATGGGTAAGAGTGCTGGTGAAATTACAGGTACATAGGACCTGTTACCTTATGTCTGTCGCGGTGGCAATGACCCTCAGATCTTTACTATTGAAAGCTCTGAGCGGCACTGCAACTGATAACAGTTGCGTGTCCGTAGGGACAGTCCGTCCCTTCCGTCACTTTGTATTATTACAAAAAGCAACAACAGAACATAAGTAATTCCAAATAAGGGCTTAATGTACGAGATCTAGCCCCCGCAGTGAGACGTTATAGAGTCGATATAACCTCAAATGGCTTTGGTTGATTCCGCATAACAGTGAAAGTGTTGAATCAATCACTTGGAAAAAATATATACTAAAATTGAGGATATATGCTGTTTACGGTGCGAAAACACGATACCTAAAAATTTTCACGATCGAAAAAAACCACAAACTTACCTCGAAATTTTACAAACAACCGATGTATTCAATAGGTACTTTACACATACCAATGATTTTTTTTATTTCAACTGAACTAAATAGTACAAGTATAGTATACGGTATACATTTTTTAAATGGCCATAATTTCGTTTGTAAAAAAATAAATTCTGAATTAAAGCCAGTGTCCCTGCCGCTCGGCCCAACCAAAAAGGATCGTATTAGTACGGGAAAGATTTGAATTTGAACTCAGGTAGTATCTACTCTTGAAACAAGAAGTTCCTTTAAATTTACTACGTTAATGATAAGGAGTTAATCGTTATAATTGACCCTTTCGATCGGCATTATAAAAATGATTGATGGTGATTTTTTTTCGTATTTTGTCAATCAGAATTCTAAACGAGATAAGTAGATTTTGAAACTCTTTGAATGCATAACTTACTTTTAAAAATAGTGTTATGTCTCCATGAAGCAAAATATCCTATCATATCTATAAAGTACTTTTCCTGCGTGTCTCACGGTCGTAGACGCTCTGTATAGAGCTCTAACACTATTTCCCTTTTTATAATAACATTACATTCCAAGTAAATTAATAAAAACATTATTTAAATAAAGTGTTC